TATTTGCAATTAAGGGGGTGTTTGGGGTAACCAAAGGTACTTTTAAAAAGTAATTTTTTACAAATTGAGACAAATTCATTCACATATTTACTTCGTATATCATAAAAGCATTTTTAAAACTATGGTTTTCTTTCTACTTAAACACTCCCTAAATATAAAGTTGTGCTACATGACTACAAAGCATGATTATAAATAAGGTTTTATAATTAATTAGAAGTGGAGGGAGTAATAAAAGAGAATAAGGACCCCAATGTTTATAAAGTTGTGCTTTGTGACTACAAAACATAATTATAAATAAGATTTTATAATTAGGGCTAAAAAAAGTAATAAAAGGGAATAAGGACCTAAATGTCCATAAAGCAAAGTTGCGCTGCGGGACTACAAAGCTAGGATCCAGAAATTAACCGAGAACCAAAAGCGAAAAGATTGAACTTACAGTCCCCGCCAATGCCAGAGTTGGAAAGGGCATTTATTATTATGAGTTTAGAATCAAATAACCGAAAAGCAGGATTTCATATCAGTTTTGGATCAGCCAACTACTGCTATAATGAATCTGTATATTGGATCGTGATAAAAGTTGGGAAAAACACAAGAAATTGGAAATGGTAGATATCTAATCAAAAATGCCAACTTGACCAATTCTAATTCTATATATCTATCCATAAACATTCAGTTTATTTGTAAAACCTTACCTCCCTTCTCCAGATGAAGATGATACGACCACGGGTGGGCAACGGGAGAGAACGGCGAGTTGTGTGAAGGAAGATAATGGTATGCACTATATATACACATACATATACATATATGTATTTTAAGGGTGATTTGCGCATATAAAAGTGATACAAAAAGATCGGGGAAGATTAAAAGATATGTTATCACTTGTTTGGAGGAATGAGAAAAAATAGGAAGAAAAAAAAAATTAGTAAAATCACACTAACAATAATATTCTTATATCCTAATTTATTATATCTCATATCATCATTTACAATAAAAATATTTTGAAGTAAAATTATATCTAAAAGAAAAATATCTTCATATTCATATATCTTAATATCAAATAATCAATTGAAAAAATAAAATAATATATATATTTAAAAATATATTTTTTATATTTATATATGTTTGAAAATAAATTGAAAGAAATAAGTGGGGATTATCTAAATTTACTGAGTTAACGCTGGAAAAAAAATTGCTGAGTTAACATTTTTTTAATTAAATGAGACTAATAGCGTCAAGTTTAACAAACTAAAAATAGATTTTACAAATTTGAATGACTAAACTTAAATTTGAACAAATTTAGAAGACCAAACATATACCCAGCCCCAAACTAGATGGAGAATTGCAGATAATTGAGATACAGAGTTAAAAGTGAATTAAAAATTAAAGGACTAAAAGATTAATTTTTCATTGATTATAAATGATTTCATTTCACGATGCAAAGGTTTACAAAAAAAAATATTACTAAAAAACATTTTTTAGTTGAAGCAAACATCATTTCCAAGCTGTCTTTTTTTTCTATTTAATTCTAAATATAAAATCTACTTTGGAATTGAGTTTAGGTTAAAAGGGTAAGATTTTAATTCGACTTATATGTTATATTTATTTTTTTAAATTAATTTATCAAATTTATAAAATAATATGTAATCAATTATTTACTAACATTAAGAAGAACAATGCAAACTACATATATATATATATATATATTTATATATTAGATCTCGGATTTTAATTAGGGAGAATGGTTATGAAATCTTAAATAAGAAATATAATTAAAAAAAAGTTTTACTGACAATGACACTTTCAGAGTAGTAAATGATAATTTCTCACTTGTTATTAAAACTTATTGATAATTATTTTTTTTGAACCTCATTATAATTCTCCTTTTTTTAATTAGATTTAGATTTGATTACAATTAAGGATTTTTTTTCAACTAATAACAAATTTTTTTTCTTAATTCTCATCTTCCTAATACTACCTCCACTCATTAACGTAAGACTTAATAGAAGATTCAATTTGGTCCTAAAAATATAAGATCACAATATATTTTGTCTTTAATATTTATTTATCTATTTTATCCTTAAATAATTTCAATGGTGATTATATATATTAACAAGTTTTTATGAAGAAGTAATGTCTATACACATAATTAATAGAGGTATTTTAGAGAACACAATATCTATTTAACTTTCTCTCTTTCTTTATGATAATTTTGACCATGCAAGAAAAACCAAAATGAAACATGACTTTGTTCGTTTGCTATAGGTTCCTATTGCTAGGGTTATTCAGATATTTTAGGGATTTTCCAAATCTTATTTAATTACTTCATAGCATTTTCAACCCGATATAATGATGATCTAACAGCCTCTGATTCGAAAATGCCAGATTAGAAAGAAACAATATAATTTACTACTTTGGATTCTTAATATAAGATCTTGTTTGACTTTTATTTTGATCTTAAATATAAGATCTCAATCCACTTTTCTTTCATATTTATACTTTTTTTTTTAAGATAGTCCTTTTAACAATGATAGTTCTAACCAATACACTTGATTAGCAAAGATGTTTTAGGAAAAACAATACATATTTATTACAAATAAGTAACTTAACTTCTTTTCTTAATCTTCTCAAATTAGTCAACTAGCTTTTATAATTAGAATTGGAAGTAATATATAAAACTAATTAATAGTAGAGGTGGGAGTAACATCTCTCAAAGCCATGACTTCAGCCACTAAAATCGTCTCTTTATCATCAAACATATGAATGGTTATTGTTAATCTCATTGTCATTAGGTATTTGGTGGAGTTCAGTTGTGTTTAATTGCATATCAAATTACATCATGAGAAAATTATTTATTTTAATCTTTGAATATCTCTCACCTTCAAAGAGCCAAAATGAAAAGATGGCAAATAATAGACCCCAGCAGATCCAACAAATAACCCACATTCACAAATGTTACTTTGTAATATACTAATTCTAGTGGTCACAATCCAAGTAAAATTAGTTGTAGCAAAGAAAGAAATATCATATGGGTAATTCATTCATATAAAAAAGTAACGAAACAACGGCTATTCTCAAATAGATCCACACAGGGTTTTTTCTAGTTATAGTTATTTGCTTTGATTCATTATTTGGCAGCTCTACTCCCAAAACAAAAAGGGATAGACTGATTCTTGTTTGCTCCTCAAAATCCAATTTTGGCCTGCGGTAATGTAATCAGGATTTAATCTCCTAAATTCTTAAATCCTCCTAAATTCTTTTTTTCTATGAAAGGGAAAGTTTTGTTCTAAATTCTACCTCATTCCAGAAAATCTGGAAGCACCTCTGCAACCTTCTTTCCCTTCATTGGTCTTTCCCTAGCGCTCTTTTTTTTTTTTTTTTAAATTATGATGATAAAAGAAGACTGAACAAGAAGAGCATCACAAACTCTAATTAATTATAGGGATAATCAATCTCTAAGTCTTATAGTTTATCTGATTCTTAATCAAGTCCTTATAAAAATTTTTTCTTTTTATCAGATTTTTTTATTTTCACGTGTTTTTAATTAGGTATTTTTATTTTTTTTATCAGGTCCTCATGGTTTTACTTATTTTTTAATTAGGTCCTTTGAAGTTTTAAAAAAATTATTTATTAACTTTATTCTGCAAACTTAATTTTATTTTTAATTAATAATTAATATAATTATTTAGCAATTAATAAATAATCATGATAATCAATTATACTTAACTATAAATCAATTATAATTATATTCTAATTTTAGAAAATTGTATTCTTATAATTTGAATTTTATAGCTATAAAAATTAGAATTGAAAAATAAATAATATATATGTTTAACTAAAAATTTAAAAGAATATTAACAGCATATTATTATAATAAGTTATTATTTATAGAATATTATTATTTATAGACAAAAGAATAAAAACTACAAGGACCTAATTAAAAATAAGGTAAAACAATAAGGGCCTGATAAAAAAAATTATAAGGACCTTATTAAAAACATGTAAAATTATAAGGATCTGGTAAAAAAAAAAAATTATAAGGTTCTGATTAAAAATCAGTTAAAACTATAAAGATTTGCATATTAATTATCCCTATCCTAATACATATTCTTCTTAAATTTTATAAAAGATCTAGTTTTTTAGTTTTATTTGTGTGCAATGAAAAGCATAATATGTATAAACATACTAGATGCACATATCTCGTTAAATTTCATAAAACATTTATTATTTTATTTTATTAGTATGCAATAAAAACATAAATATATATAGACACTAACAATGCATTTTTAGGTAGCTCTGTATATTCAGATATCTAATAAAAAAATAATTTTAACAAAGTGAAAAAATAAAATGTAATTATATAAGATCTAAGAAAGATAATTAAAATAGCAGGTTAGTAAGGCTACTCATTATCTTAAGTTCTCCAACTTAGGATACACCAAGGGAATGATTATCATCTGGTGGAAAATAAAATAAAATTAGATGCCATTTGAAACGGGTACCACTCTGGTTTTAGTTTATTTATCTAAAAATAAATAATAAGTAAATGTTAACTATTGTTTCTTATAATTAAACTTAAATTCATTTATCTATACTCATTTGATCCAATCCTTCATGCAAATATTGTCATATGTAATTTTTATTATTACCAAAAATTCACATAACAAGATTTAGTTGGAAAATCGAAGATGAACCTAAAGTTTATCATAACTTAACTTTATATGACGTGTTATATTAATATACACGTATTTTAATATTGTTTAGTATGCCTCAAAAACACTTATAAAAAAAATACTTCTATATATATGTTGAGACAACTCTTTTCCAAAATCACTTTTAAAATCATAATTTATTTTCTGCCTCAACATTCAATAAATTTCTAAAACTTTTATATGCAGGTTCAAGGGGTAATTTTCATAAGTATTTCAATAATCCTAGGTGCTTCGATCAGATATTTCCCTTCACCCCACCTTGTGTTATGTTATTACTTGTTAACCTTTCCATTTCCAAAAGGGGGATAATCTCATTGATTATAAATGATTTCATTTCACATGGCCAAGATTTACAAAAATACAACATCCCACGCACTTGTCCTCCAACACCCGACAACTTTGAAAAGCCCCATATTTAACATTCGCCTCCTGACATTAAGTAGTTCTAAACACTGGACTAAGTTATTCCCTGTTCGCTTCAAACACTGATGATCTACGGCATAAATTCCTTTATGCGACCAGCAATGCTTCTTCACGTTTCAAGTCAAACACCTTGATGAGCACGTCTTCAACCACCTGTTTGTAAACCAATTACAAGCACAACTATTTAGCTTTTCCACCGCGTAAACACATATCAGAGAATCTTACGACAAGAATAAGAATGCAAGCTTTGACTGCCCCGTTTGGCTTCTCCGCAGAAAATCTATCACAATTTCCTGATCATTACTTAACAAAATTGATTCTTTTTATTTCACATTTTAACAGCAGGAAAATGAGATTCATTCTCAAATTCAAAATTACTTCTTTTTACCCTCTATTTCTTATTTTATTTTTGTCCGACAAAAGGCCAGTTTTATATCATCATTCGGGCAACAGAAATTACCTTGTCAGGTGTGGATGCACCAGAAGTTATGCCAATTGTTATTGGACCCTCTGGGAGAAAGTTTTCTTTCTCCACGAGCTCACCATGCTGATAGAGCCAAAAAGGATATCAATTGATAGAAAAGAGAGCTAATAAAACTTGACCAGATGTAGATATCATTATGCTTATGCTCACCATCAATTTGTATGCTATTCTGTTTCCTGGACCAATTCTTTGCTCACTGTCAATCCAGTAAGAAGGAATCCCACGTTCCTCAGCTATTTCTTGCAGGTGTGATGTGTTGCTTGAGTTCCACCCACCAACTACTAGCATAAGATCCAAATCTTTCTCCACCAGCTCGTACATAGCATCTTGTCTCTCCTGAAAATGGATAAAAGATTTTAGTTTACCTGTTGTCTGGTGATTAGACTAGAGACACAAAGTATTTTATTAGAGAAGGGAAAGGATGAAGAGGAAGCAAAGCAGGGGAGCTTAAGATTCCACAAAGCTTAAATAAGAAAAATAAAATTTTAAAAAAACACCATTAAAAGGGGAAAAGAAGAACTTAAAATATTTGCAAATAAATTAAAATAAGTAGGAATATCTATGACTGCAAATGAGAAACTACCTGAGTAGCATCACAAATGGTGTTGAAGCTTAAGAAGTGTTCGTTGACGTTTTCCACACCATATTTGCGCATCATAGTCCTTTCTAATAGTTTGCCTGTAAAACGAGCAGATCTATAAATATCAAATCATAATTCTTTTCTCCAAAAAGATGAATTGAGATTGTGCAATAGTAACGAACCAATCTCTTCAGTCTCTCCCTTGAGCATTGTTGTCTGGTTCGCAATGCCCACTTTAATCAAATCAACGTCTGGGTCAAACCCCTCAGAAACAGCAAATTTAAATTTCTGCCCCAAAAAAATGCCAATAATGATCACAATGAAAACCAGAGAATTAATGTCAAAATCAACATATATCTTGTGAAAGAAAAATTTACCTCTAAAAATGCATCTTTAGTTGAGCTGGATCCATTAAATCCACCACCAAGAATATAGTCACAAACATATTCAGCCTGTATCAAGTTAACAAGAATGCAAGTAACAAAAGAAGGAAAAAAAATTAATGCAGAATTTATAGGGTCATAAGAGAACGAAACTTTCCTCAACTTAAGATAATCACAATTTCACCCACAAGGAAATGTATATAATAGCTGCAACATAGGACAAACCTCAGCCATATTCTTCACAATGATATACTTTCCAGCAAATGATGCAGTTGCTATTGTTTCCTCATGAGCATATTTACCGTGTATGACTGATGTGTACTCTCCTTTCTTGTGCTTTTCAACAGAATTCCAGACCTTCAAGCAATATATTGAAGAAATCATGTGAGTATATGGGATGAAAAGTAAATGCTATATGAATTCAATTTACAGACAACGCAGTGAAACAGATATCCACCTCTGTAAATGAATACCTTTACAACCCATGGGCAAGTTGTATCAACAATTTGCACATTTTTCTCACTCAAAGTCAACATCTCATCCACTGCCGCTCCAAAAGCAGGCAAAACCACAACATCACCCTTGTTGACAACATCAAATTGTTTATTTCCTTCATTCACAGGAATATTCTGCACTTTCATCTCTTCTAATCGCTGCATTAATAATTGAGGTTCGGTAATCATGTAACTGACTAGAATTGGCAAATGAAAATAGCCTAATACGTGAAAGCATAGCATGTAAAGAAATCAGTTGCCAAAATGAGACAACTTAACAACCTCATTAACTGAACGGCTACGTTCACAGAACTATCCAAACCAAAAAATCGATTTAATTGTACAGCCCCTCAAAACAGGATCATACATTTCAATTAGAAAATCTATCTCTAAGCTTCCAGATAAATCAATTGCCGAATTCCCCACACATTTACAACATAGCTAAGAAATGATTATTGCAGCCTGTTACTAATTGCTCATACATGGCCATTACCACGAACCGAGGCAAAAAAATAAATAAATAAAGAATATTGATAGTAATAAAATATGTTAGACCTTATTAACAGTTGGGTTGTGGATGATTTCGTTGGTGAGCCAGATTGTCTCAGTAGGAAACTGTTTTCTAGCCTCGTAAGCAATTTGAACAGCCCGTTCCACTCCCCAGCAGAAGCCAAAAGCTTCGGCCAGCGCCACTGTGACGTTACCCCATGTATACTCATATCCATTTTCCTTCAAGGTTTTAATGATGTCACCTGAAATCCCAACACAACACACTCAAACTTACAAGAGAACGAGACATCACAAAGAATTCAACGCTGCATGCATCAAGGAACCAACACGGGTGAAATATTTTATTAAAGCTAGAGCTGAGTAAGCATAAGTAATTGTCTAGAGCGACAGCACACTCCCGTGCCACATGAAGCGCAGATCACCACACGTTTGCATCTCGATTTCAAATTTCTCATGAAATAGAAGAAAATAACCTCACGAGAGCAACTGAATTACAAAATTCTGAGTCCCTATGGGGGCGTCCAGTAAAATAGGAACGATACAGAGGATATAGTTACAAAATTCTAAAAGGCAATTAGCTCTGCAAATGAAAACAAACTCTTTTTCCCCAGGCAACTGCGAAGTGAACCTACTTGTGTATTCGCGATTCATAAGTTCAAGGGTCGCTTCCTTGTGCCCAAACCCTTTCCGATTATAGTTCTTACTCCTGGTTAGATTCTTCCGGAAAACCTTGGCATCGAAATCGGAGTCCACGTCGGTGGAAGAAGATGAAGAATCGACAGAGCATCTAACGGAGATAGGCTTCCAGCACCACAAAGAACCCGTCCTAGAGAAGTTCCCCGGTAACGGCAAGGAGCAGTCGGTGCGAGTACCGGAGAGACTGCAAAGGTGCGGGGAGATCGCCATGGTAGATAGAAATGTCAGCAGGGAGCGAGACGAGACCTGACACGGATGGCTCTCAATTGGCAAACGGCAAGAAGAGCTGGCTTCGTTTGTTAATTTATTAATTTGTTTTTAATTTCTTCCTTTGCTTCATAATTTCTTTACATAAATATCATTTTTTTGGGGTAATAAAGCGAGGCAAAGCCAATTGCCATGTCCTAAACTTCGTTATACAATTATTAGTATGAATTATATGAATTAATAACCAAATCAAAAATATTTATAATATTAATTTTATCACTCAAATTATTTACTTTGTCATTACAAGTCCAGCCTCGGATATTTGAAGAGTTTTGATATGACTTTTAATTATGCACGGCTCTCAATTAATTTCTTTTCTAATGAGTAAGATAGCAAGACGAGAAATGATTTTATTTTCTTCATCAAATTATCAAATTTTTTATTTTATTATTATTTGAAATTGTGTAAAAGACCTATATTAATAAATATTTATTATAAAGGATTAAATTATCTTTCTGTGAATTGAAATGAAAAATCTTTATCCATATGGATGCAACTTCTTTCCTTTGTTTCTTGAGTTTCCTTAGAACTATAATATGAAATGTTGATGCTAAACACAATTTTTTTATAAAGCAACATCAACATCCCACAATAGCACCTAATATCAACATATGACATTTTAAAATATTTTTTAATAACATTCAATATTTTAAACATTTGTACCATTCAACACCGTAAAGTAGCAATAATTTTAGGTTAAAAAAGAATTTCTCGTTTTTTATTGTTTTAAACAAACTCCTAAAAATATCAACTACTATATATAATAATGGGTTAGTATAAATTTTAATTCTCAGGTTTCTTTTCATTTATAACATTTAATTTAACAAAATCTTAAATCATCTTACCAAAACCATAGATTTTAAACTTAAGAGACTAAAACTAAAATTAGAACAAATTTGAAAGATCAAATATTATATTAATCCTATATTATAATTAAGTAATTTTCTCTTTCCTTGTCATGTGTCAATTAGTATTAGAGTGCTAATACCAATTGATCTCCAAACCTCATAAGAAGGTTTCTCTCTTTTATTTTATTATTATGTAATTTTAATTTTAAGGGTGTTTGGGTAATAACAAAACCATGATTTTAGAAGTATTTTTACAGTATCGAAGTAAATATGTGGAGGAATCTGTCTCGATTTACAAAAAAATGCTACTGAAAAGCATTTCTAGGGTTAGGCAAACATTCCTTTTGTCAATGTTTCCTAACGGGCTTTTCTTTCTTTTGCTAGAAAGAAGAAATCGAAAAGATGATTAAAAAAGCCAAAGAATATGGAGCTCAAAAAGAGGAAGAAGTATGAAGAAATGGTGGTTAAGAAGAGAAACAAACCAAAAGATATGGAGCTAACATAGGTTTTTACAAGGGTGTGTATGAAGCCCAAATGCCCGCTGAGTCCGTCTGAACCCGAAGAAAAATTACCTAGCTTAGCCTGAAAAAGAATGGGCATCTTTAAGCGGGGCATTTCATGAGATGGCCTGGGCTAGGCTGGGCATCGGGTAGGGCATGCTGCCCTACCCGGATTATATATATATAAAATAATATAATTTATGAAATAATATTAATATATTACATTTCTTTACCTAAAAGAAAAAGTTATCTCCCTCCTCTTTGCAATTTAATTTATTATTGTCGCATGTATGTTACTTTTCCATTTTAGGGGATCTAATTCTTCTAAAAAAGCAATAGTATCTTGCTTTTAACTTGTTCTTCATAAGCTTTATTGGGTATATCTTATTGTGTGTTGCTGTCATAATGTTAGCTATTTATAAGTCAATCCTCTCCTCGATGTCATTAACAACTTTCTTTGTTAGAGAATGAAATTCATACATTACATATTTGTATAAATCAATAATTTTAAATATTTATATAGGATAGAAAACAAGTTTGGGGTAAGAGCTGGGAAAGAAAATTGGGGTTTAATTATCTGAATTACATGTTTTATTTTTATTTAATTTGTATTTAGCTATTTTGTATTAATTTTTTATGAACAAGTCATATGATAGAAAGAAGTCGTTTAGTTGTGTGGACTGCTAACTGCATTGTATCGCATAATAAGCGTGTACATATTAAAAGTGGTTATATTAAATTATTATAAGATTTTGAGATTTCTTATTTTTCTTTTTACAATTATTTTCACCCTTATTTTTATATGGTCTACATTATTTCTGTTAGCTCATTGTTTTTGTTTTAGTATCCTTTTGCAATTATTTAGGTAACATTTAATTTTTGCCACTTGAATGAATAATCAAGCTTCTATTACATCACTATCCCCAATCCTCAATGGAATATCCCAATATGATTCAACCCCTCTTCAATTTTTTCAGATATTTTATTCTTTTCTCAACTTTTTGGAGATTAATGCAGACCGTTTGAATTTCAAGGCTTTAATTACAATCTTGAGAGTTGTTTTGTTCTAAATAGATTACATAATATTATTTATTTGGATATTTTCTAAGGCTTGTTTTGAATTATTTCTGGATAATTTTAATGTGTGAAAATGTAAAATTATGAAATGTAATTTTTAGGTATGGACAAAAATTTTTTACATGTGATATCGGCAAGTCATCACCATTTGGATAGCAAAACCTGCTCATGTCCAGCCCAAAATAGTTATGGCTTCTATGGCAGAGTCGGGCAGCGAGCTGCAAAATACAGCCCACTCATACTTCGAGTAGGAGTGTTGTCCTACCTAGCTCTGTCCACGTGCACCCTTAGGTTTTTAGCACAATTTTAAATAATGATAAAGAATTTGATAATTTTAAAAAAAAACAATATGACAATATCTTGTTTTGATATCTTAGCCAGAAAGAAAATTAACCAAGAGTGGTGCATAATTAGAATCCATCTCCAAATTTTTCAAATAACAGAGTATGGACTTTGTAATGACGAGGTGGATAATTGAGAATCATCTTTTTCAAATCTAGACGCCGGTTCTTCAACGTCCCTATTAGAAAGGCCATACAGTCATTCCTATCTATTATTATAAACTCCCCCTTTTTCAATCCCTTTATTTTCCCCCATTCATCTCTCCTACCCGCTCACGATATTTTCATCAAACCTATGTACTCAAAAAAATTTAAGCATAAAAAATATAATGAAAATTGTTGTGCGTACATTATATATGTGCGTGTAACAACCAAATCAATATACATGCAATACACACCTCCTTAATTAGAGTAAAAATGAAGCAAGGCAATCCTTACTACTAGGGGTGTTCACAATGCTCGTTGGTCGGTGCGCCCGTTTGAGCCCCCCAAAAAAAGCCCCGCCACCCCTGAAAAATTGAAACCCAAAAAAAAAAGGGCACTTTTGGAAAGGGTTGATCACGGCCAAGGCTAGGTTACAAGTAAGGAATCCTGCCCGGCCCGTTTGGCCCTGCCCGAGATATTTTTAGTTATATATTAAAGTAATATATGATACTCCTCCGGTCCTAATTATAAGACCCAATTGACTTATTTGAGGAGATTAAAGAAGTAAGTTAAGTTGGTTATTTATAATAAATAAGTGTTGTTATTCCTAAAATATCCTTGTTAATTAAGTATATTGGCTAAAACTATCATTATTAGAAGGATTATCTTGGAAAAAAATGCAAAAATATAAGAGAGAAAATGGATTGGGTCTTATAATTAGGACCAAATAAAAAGTCAAATTGGGTCTTATAATAAGGACCGGAGGAGTATAATAATATAATAATATATTATATTATAAAAGTATATTTATATTTTCAATTTTTATATTTTTAATTCTTTAAATTTAATTCTCAATCTAGCCGCTCACCCTCAGCCTTCCTCTCAGAGTCTCGATCTCCCTCTTAATTTTGTCACACCTCAGTCAGTTCGATCACCTGTTATGATGGAAAGCTAATTCAGAAAAATATAAAATTCTTTCTCACATGGCATGAGACGTATTGGCTATGCCAGTTTTTACAGTTGTTTCTAAGTCTGCATTTAGCACTAAAAGATGTGTGGTTGATCATTATTAGAGTTTTTTGTCCCCTAAAATGACAGAAGCATTAATTTGTGCCCAAAACTAGCTACGACCTGGATAATCAATATCTGGATTTCTTAACAAGCTTTGCAAATTTAATAATTTTGATGAGACAAAAAATGTCCTTCAACTCGCTAATAATCTCCCCCCCCAAAACCCTAATAACTCATCCGTGTCTTATTTCATAATTTGGTATGTAATTGTTCTTTGATTTTTTTTCCCTGGATGCTACTACACCTGGAGGAGAGAATTTAATTGATATTGGTGATTGAATGGTCATTTTATAAGCATGATTGACTAAGTTGGTAAGTTGTATCGGTGCATCCTTTAAAATTTAAAAGTACATTTCTTTTTTTTATTGTTTACTTGCTAATATATTAAATTTACAATCATTTTTTTCATATTTTTTTTTCAGATGTTCCATCTTTTTTTCAAAATCGTGAGATCGATGCAAACCGTTTAAATTTCAAGGCCTCAATCACAATATTGAGAGTTGTCTTGTTTTAATTTGATTATGGATGTTATTTAATTGAATATTTGTTAAGACTTGATTTAGATTATTTCTGGATGATTTCAACGTGTCAACATACAGAATCATGAAATGTAATTTTAGGTATGGATGAATTTTTTTCCCATTATGATATGAGCATGGCATCACTTTTTGGGCAACAAAGCTCACCCTGCTCAACAAAAATGGTTATAGCTTTTATGGACAGAGCTGGGAAGTGGGCTACAACAGGGGCCCAGCCCTGTTCATATGAAGCCCTACCCACTACCGTATAAACTTTGTTTTTAATGTAATTTAATAGCAAGAAATATTGTAAGTCTTACGTATACAATTGTTAGTATGAATTATATGAATCAATAACCAAATGAAAAACATTTAAAATATTATCTTTATTGCTTAATATTTTGAATTACCCAAATTTATATGTAGTGAAGATTTTTTTTAAATGGATTGTTATTATTTAATTATCTTTTACACAATTCGAGGACTTTCAAAAGAACAAAAAAAAAAGGGCCTGTTACGAATGAGTTAGATAAGACAAAAGGATTCAGGCAAGAAAAAGGTAAGACAAAAAGAATGTTAATTACGCGCGTAAATCCTCCTGCGGCTTCATGTAACGGGGGCAAATTGATCCCATCTCTTCCCCTCAAATTTGGTTTCAAAAAAATCTCATCCCGTAAAAAAAAAAAAAAAAGTACAATAAACTTGTCTCAGTTCATGTGTTTTTATCTTTTCAATTGACGAAAAAAAACTTGTGTCGTACTCTGTGGTTAATTAGATAATTAATTTATAAAACTTAGAAAAACAATTAGATTAATTATTTTTACAAAATTTGTATTTGTTTTCTTAAAATAATTATTTTTAATCATTCATATGGGAAACCATGATATTCAAGAAGGTTTATTAACATTTATATATTGTTTGAAAAAAAATTATAAGTTTGAGAGTCAAATATTTTAAATCAAATCAAATTCCTTAAATAACCCCAAAACGTTGTTTTGGGTGAAATTTGGTTAAAATTCTCTGTTTAAAAATTTAATTAGCTAAAAATATTTAAATTTAAGCGAATGTAATTATGATCCGTAAGTGTAACGCATCTCCTGCTAAGCGCAATATATTATCAATGATATGCAAGTCAATACAGAAATCATTTGCATACAGCACAATATATGTCATACATATAGAAGATATGTTGATCCTCAATTAAAATTTTAAATAGGGAATTTTTACCAAATTTCTCACGTCTTTTTTCCAGTATAAAAACGTTCTCTTTCTTTTTGCCTTTTGGGTAACAAAAAACAGTTTTCCTTCTTTCACTTGAAGAGAATTCTGAAGTTTTTGTTGGGCCACCCAGGAGACTTCTGGATTCAGTTTACGTTGTCTGGGCCAATCATATTGATATCAGTATTATAATCCAGCCCACATGCACAGAGTTCTAACTTTTCCTTTTTCAGATTCTTAAAGGTAGTGTTTCTATGTAGGAAGAAGAGGAACGGGAGAAAAAGAAAAGAAAAAAACCGTTATATTGTACTACTGCTTCTGCTCTTTAATATAAGAGTTACATAACTAATTTAAAAATATTAAAAAAATTAATTAAGTTAGTTATTTATCATAAATATCTTTTGATCTTCCTGATCTATCATATTCAATTATATATATTGGATGACGGAATCAGTTTCAGTACTCATCATTTTGATGAACACTTTAAACTCATTAGATCTGAACCATCTATGTCTGATTTGAATGGTTCGGATTTAAAATATTTAATTAATTATTTTTAAAGAGAAAAACTAATTTTTTTGAAAGAATTATAGTTAAGAGATTATTTTTATTTTAGATTCTATACATATTAAGATAACTATTTTGAACAAATAAAAATAAAAAAATCAAATCTGGACCATCCAAATAAGATATGGATTATATAAATCTAATGAGCTTATAATACGCATTAAAGTCATGAACGTTGAAACTGGTTCCATGGGATGACTGGAATTAGCTTTTAGTGAAAATCTCTCACAGCCAATAAGAATATTTTAAGAAAAGATAAGAAATAAATTGAATTGTAATATTATATTTAAGACTAAATTCAATCTCTAATTAATTCTTATATTAAAGACCGAAGGGAATATTGTTTAGATTATTTAAAGGGTTAAAGGCCTTTTCGGTTCTAAAAATATTCACAGAAAAGAATTATAGGTATCGAAATTGTTTTTTGGGAAAATTCCAGAAAAGGTCCCTTGAATATATAAAATCCCAGATTAGGTCCTGGAATTTCTAAAATGACAGAAAGGGTCAGTGACCCAATCTGTCATTTGGCAAATCAAGAGGAATTGACAATTTTGTCCTCATTTGTATTCATTCACTACAATGATTTAAGAAATCACTATAAGGGTTTAAACATTACCTAGATTCATGTAGCGAATAACTATTCGTTTTTTCATATTCAGGTGTCTTATTATTAACTACAACTAATTTTGTAATCACTAGAACAATGTAAGTATTACCTAGATTCGTATAGAGAATAACTACTCACTTTTTCATAGTCAGGCACCTTATTATTAACTACAACTAATCTTGTAATTATTAACTACAACTAATCTTGTAATCACTAGAACATTGTAAGCGTTACCTAGATTTGTGTAGAGAATAACTACTCACTTAGTCAGAGGCAAAATTGTCAATTGGTCTTAATTTCACAAATGACAGATTGGGTCACTGACCCTTTCTGTCATTTTGGAAATTCTAGGACCCAATCTGAGATTTCATATATTCGAGAGACCTTTTCTGGAATTTTCCCTTGTTTTTTTGACTCAATTTCGCTTTAGAAAAGAGTGTGCTTTTTCCTTTGTTTTTAATAATAATGGTGATAAAATGACTCTTTCTTTAATACCTTGGAGACCCCGTTAGAGGGGGAAAAAACTAATATTCACAACAACTTCACCAATACTTCCAAAATGAAAATCATCCTTAATCCTCTTCTCAATCATTAAAAAACATGTTTTAATGAATCTTTTCTCTGCAGCTTAGAAAGTATCATTAAAATTTTTCAATTCGTGAGTGTACCATTAAGGTTACGTTTAATACGATGCATTAAAAATGAATGATAAGAATTAAGATTGTAATTAAAAAAACTATTTAGCATGAGTAATTACTTATTGCATGAGATTAGACAAATCTACTGAGGTGGGATTGGAGAATATCACATCTCACTATGGTATTCTCCAATCCCATATACATGAGTTTGTCTGATTCCATGTAACAAAAAATCTCTCATGTTAAATATTCTTTTAACAAAGTTTTTCAATTCTAATCCACTCCGTGTTCTTTATTTTTAATACTTTGTACGAAACTGGATCTAAGAGTCTAGTATACACTGCTCTCAGTTTATAATATCATTATAGGACATAAGAAGTACAGAGAGATCTACTTAAGTTACATAACATGACATTTACGTACAGCATCTAAAACAAGAGTAATCTACTAGTACATGCGTTTGTTTGATATAGAACTCACCCTTCTCTTGATCGGGAATCAGGCAGTTCTGAGAGACTGAGTCATCATAGCAGTGAACTCGTCCATATCAACCATGCCATCTCCATCTCTATCCACCGCTCTCACCATTTTCCTGCAATCTTCCAGACTGCAACTCTCTCCCAGCCTCCTTAACATTTCATGAATCTCCTGCGCACTTATCTTCCCATCTCCATTCCTGTCAAACGTCCTAAATGCGCTCTGTATATCCATCGTCCTTATCCCTCCTCCTTTCTTCTGCGCCTCCATGAACTCCCTGAAGTTTATGAATCCGTCACCGTCCAGATCCGCCACCCCGAAGATCGACGGCACTTCGTGGATCATATTCCCCATCCCCAGTGCTCTCAGCGTGGCTTTGTACTCATCCTGAGAGATCTTCCCGTCCTTGTTGCTGTCAAACTTGTCGAACACTTTCTTCATCTCCTCCGCGTTCGGCTGGAACAAGGGCTTCTGCAACCCCGAGTTGACTCGGTCTTTCATGGAGAACATCCGAGATGGCTTCCTCAGGTACTTCCTCTTTGAGAGGCTGTATTGGAAATCAAGGAAGCTTGTGGTCGACATGATCTTGTTCTTCTTCTTCTGCTACGTACATACTTCTGCTATGGTTGATTATTATTAGGTTCATAGAATGCTGCCTCTTATATAACAAATGAAATGGCCGACATTAAACAACGATTGTTCATTGTTCATTGTTCTTTCGTAGATGAGGAATCTGAGAAATCCTAGGCTATCCGTTATTCCCTGATAAAAAACAGATGACCACGAAACTGAAGATGCTGAAAGAGAAAAAAGCAGGACAGGGAGGGTGGCAGGTAAAAGAATACATTCTTTTTTTAAAAAGCCAGGGGTGTATTAATTAAGCCCTGTAATTGCCTTTCAGGGGAGGAAGGAATGTCCCATTTGCATTCTGAGGGTGATGACTTGATCTAGAAGAATGTTTTACTGATATTTTTAATGACAGTGGCAGAAAATGAGAACGAGTCTTCAAGTTGAATTAAAGAAGTATAAATTCCTGAGGTGGGATAAAGCGAATAAAGGAGAAGTATTTGTCAGCACCAGTGATGGTGGTTATCCCTTGTCCACGTGCTCCACTAGGTCAACATCCCATCGTATCTTTCTGCAAGTAATATGCAGAGATATATGTCACAAATGCCATCGTATCTGATACGGATGCGTATCAATACAGAAGTGGTACGGTACGGGCCCATAAATGTGTGTGTATATACTTACAAACTACCCCCATCCTTAATACTACCTCCGGTCCTAATTATAAGACCCAGTTGACTAATTTAACGAGATTAAGGAAAGAAGTTAAGTTAGTTATTTGTAATAAATAGGTGTTATGTTTTCTAAAATATCCTTACTAATCAACTATATTAGCTAGAACTATAATTATTAGAATGACTATCTTGGAAAAAAAATGCATAAATGAGAGACAAAGTGGATTGGAGTCTTATATTTAGAACCAAAATAAAAGTCAAACAGGGTCTTATATTAAGGACCAGAGGTAGTATAAGAGTTTGTTTGACTTGTATTTTGGTCCTAAATATAAGACATCAATTCACTTTGTCTCTCATATTTATCTATCTTTTTTTAAGGTAATTCTTATAATAATAGTAGTTCTAACCAATACATTTGATTATCAAGGATATTTTAGAAAAAATAATACCAATTTATTACAAATAATTGATTTAACTAGTTTTCTTAATCTACTCAAATTAGTGAACTAGCTCTTATATTAAGTACCGGAAGAAGTATAAAACAGTGAAAGAAATTATAACTTTTCTAGTTTTAAGTTGGGAAAACATGATTTGTCGTAAAATATCATTCCAGTGTTTCTTTTTATCCAGAGATCTGTTTTTATATATATTCAAGAAGAAATAACTAAGATTGTAATTTCTGGATACGAACAGTTTATTTATGCATACTGCTGTTTGTTTTTAAGTTGATTTGTTGATTTTTCTTATATAAAAACAATTATGCATATATGTATTATGTATTCCTGTATTCTACGTGAATATTGATATGCTCAGCCGTAATTTTCTTAGAAATGAACAAGGGAGTCACAATGAGAACAATTGGAATAATCAATTATACATGCCCTCAACCACATTCAGTGGCAATTACATGCGTATGGCAAGGTAAACATAAGCAACCCTTGCTCATTTTTACCGTCAGGTAAATAAAGCAGAATGAATCACCTAGCGTAATAATGCTCCTTTTGCTGATAGAGTGTTTAGTGAAGCTAGTTTTTTATTTACATTATGAAGCCCGTACACCACTTAATGCCAAAGCAGAAATGATTTGTATGCACTGAAGGCCTAAAAGGCTCCCTGATCACATACTAAATTGCCAAAGAAATTTGTGATTACTCCTCTATCATCATCTTTGCAGCGACATAAAGCTGATTCTGACATGTGATTTCCAGGAGCCTCCCTAAAAATACCAAAGGCCTTGTCAGAAAGCAAAGTTTCGTGGAAGAGAAGTAAGAAATTCACCAAAAAAGAACAATAATAAAGAGGATGGAAGGAGGCAGAAGTAATGGTTAAGTTCTTTCTTTTCTTTGGAGATAATTTCTAAAATCTTCCAAGCATACCAGTAGGTGTCGCGTAGTTGAAAGGCAGAAGAAGAAAACAACTATCAGATTATGAAGAGGTGCTGTACTTGGTTATACTTTCACGCTACTCTGGTTTTGCAACTCCGGAGGAACTTTGCCATCTAGTTTGTTATTCTGGAGATATCTGTCATACCAAAGCAGAAAGCTTATTCAGTAGTGAGCTGAAGACCTGAGAAAGAAGAGAATAACATCGATTAGTTCAGTGTCCCTGCAATGGCAAACATCTTACATTTCGCGCAGGTTTGGTAGCTTCCCAAGTGACGAAGGAATTGGCCCATTAAACTGGTTGTTCTCCAAATGCCTTTCATTGGAACAATGACCAAATAAAAACAAAGAAAGAAAGAAAAGAGGCGGAAAAGTTAACATCAGGTCACAGCAGCTATATTAAGAAAGCTCAGAGGAGTAAAATAAAGGGTAAAGCTTCTGTAAAATTGTTTTTGTTATCAAGTTGTCCCTGTGTCATGTTTTCTCCAATGAATCAGGTTGTGAATACTCAAGACTTTTACCAAAGATTTGCCAAGTAAGGATTGAAGATAAAAACATCTTGGTCTACATACAAAGATTGCAGCTCCTTCAGCTTAGACATGTCGGGATTTCTCCTGAGAGTTTGTTTCCAGGCAGCCAACTGGGGCCAAAAATTTCAATAACAGTATCATGATTGAGTTGTAACCAAGAGAAATAAATTACTTGCCATTTTTAAATTAAAAGGAATAGATTCCTTACAGGTTTATGAGCCCAGTTAGATGGCCAATGCTTGGAGAAAGTGACCCAGACAGCCCAACGTCCGTCAAGTTCCTTCATGCCAAAACCAAAATTAAAAAAAGCCTGAATCCACCATTACACATTAGGAGCATAGGAGAAGTTCGGTTAAATTACTCGACTAGTCTTTAGTTTTTATTCAAGTTTTAATTTGGTCCTGGAGAACTGTTAGTCGCCAGGGTTGTTATAGTTTTAAAACGCAATAATTTACATAAACCCTTTTATTAGACTTTCGCAAGAATATCATTCAATTCTGTTGGTGCCGGCCATCCAGTGCCGTACTTGCATCATAAGCATGCATGATTTGCTTATTCATCCCATTTGTTACCACATGTCACACACCTAGAGTGATTTTCACTCTATTGTCTACTTTTTAGCCATTTTATAAGTTTTATTAGTAAGAATCATGCATATACTACGCCACTTCAATATCATCTGCATATTGACACGAGTTAAATGAGTCCTAAAAAAATTGAAATGAAACTCAGAACTTCAAATAATTGAATCCAATAATTAGTTACCACTCGAACTTACACTGAGATGACCTGACAAATGAATTCTTCAGAACATCGAACTCCAGTCCATGAATTTTCTTTAGGTAGGCAAGGATCCCCGCTCCAATCAGGAGGTGGATTGTCAAAACTTCTTGCCAATTCTTCCATCGCAGTCACTATAAACAGTACGTCATAACAACCAAATCAGATCATGTAAATGGAGTGTCTTCATTATGATTCTAAAATTCAATCAAAAAATTGCAAAGAAGTACAGAGAGATCTACAAGATACCATCTCTATGAATAGTATGGCCCCCCAGAGGAAGAAGCTGTAAGATTTCTCCAGCATTGATTACAGGTCCAACGGGGCTCCCTTCTCTAGGGGCCAAAGTGATTTTGGTTTGCCCAGAGAGTGGCCACTTCGAAGCATAAACTGTAAGACCGCTGGCTGTGACATTAAGTTTGGAGAAAAAAGTTTGGTTGTTAATGGCAACATCAAATATCCTCCAGCTGTAAGCGCTTGGTGACCTGTTATCCTGAAAATATAGGGCTATGTAGTAGTTGGTGCTCGGAAGGGACGCAAGCGGCCATTGAAGTTCAAGCACCTTCCCTCGGCTAGTTGTAATTCCAGATATGAATACATTCACTGGCGGGAGATTCCAGAAATCAGATGAAGTTACATTCGAATGGCTCAGTACAAAAGGGTTCTGGTCCAGAAATGGTTGCCACATCCGGTTGAATTTGTCGTCAGGATAGCTGGTTTCACATATACACACATCTTAACCATAGGAATCTCTGTTTTTTTATCCACATTTCAATTTATATCATCCATACATGACCAAATAAAAAATCCAGCATTTTATTTGCATATGATTCTGCATCACTAAAGCAAAAGTTTTGTAAATGTCTAAGTCCATGACAAATATACAGGTGTATAGGCATATATTTAATGAACAAAATTTTAGGAACAGTTTTTAGATGTTTTCCCTATTAAAATATGCCATTTTGTTTTTTTTTTCCTTCCAAAAAAGTTGTGCATTACATGATGATTGATTCTTTAAAAATTTTTTGGGTCTTATGGTTTGATTAAAGAATCTAATAGAAAACACCAAGAAAATTTACCTAATACAACCCCATTTCTAATTTAGCCTTCTATGTTCTTTCAGCTTAATTAATCTCTTATTCATGGAAGTCTTTTCAATGTTATCTTCCCATCCCATCTCCATTCATTAACTAACATTGAATGTATCTTAACGTTGACCCACACTTGTTAGCTTATGCCCAGCACTCAGTCCACATGATATAAGAAGCCCTCAATAGAAATTCAAATTTCCAAAAATTCATGAGTGTAGGTGAATTTTAAAGACACAAAACTTCGAAATTCATGAAACTAAAATTTCTGACTAGAACTGATCTAATATGGGTCGTGTCAGTTTTTTATTTAACATGATTCATAGTTGAAGATGGGATCGAAAGGAGACATTGAAAGCGTTTTAATAAATAATGAAATAAAATGAAAGAACACAACTGTGGATGACAATTTAAAATGCATATATTTGTCAAGTAGGGGAAATAGGATTTTAACTAGTGAAAACCCTACAAGATTAGAGGATTACGAGCAAATTTTAGCTTACCTAATGATTTCTTCTTTTTCTCCAAAATTATGCCTTGCAACAGTGACAAGGGCATAGTTGGTGAAGTTAGTGGGATTATACACCGAAGCATCTAAGGGCTGCACCTCCAATGCTGAAATGAAAGGGCTGGAACTACCAGTCTGGTTATTCCTCGCCAAGCACACACTCAACCTCTTCCCAAAGGCCATCACTACGACCTCGAAGTAGGAACTAAGGCCTTTGGCAAAATCCTCTGTTGTGTTTATGATGCTCCATTTGGTCCCTCCAACAATTTGATCAAACACAGGAGGCTCCTTCCCTCCATCAAAACTTCCATAGTAGAATATGGTTTTCACAAGGTACTTGCCTTGGGGGTTGACAGGTATAGAATAACAGTATTTTCTTGCCTTTGTGTTAGGAAAGTAACGTGCTGTGGACAATATGGGAACCAAGTTTTCTGACTTTATAGGAGTGGTCTTGCCCACTTTGATGAAGTCCTGATCAGATATGTAATTGAGACTTCCCACCGTCACATTTTCCGAGCCTCCGCAATTTAACAAATACCCTGTGACCATGAATAAAGGACCCAAGTTATACCCTTCTTTCTTTAATTGTTGCCTGTCCAATCCTTCAAAAGACTACATTGGGCAGCCAACACGGTGACCTATAGTTTGCTTGATATAAAAGTTAAGATGATGAAAAATTATAATGTTCAAAACGTGTTTTCCTTTTACATTGAACAATTTTAAGGAGTTAAAATGATATCTCAAAGTTAGTCATTTTAACAACAAACTTGCACTCGCGGCCCAAGTAAATTAACAGATAAAATTTGGCATTAACAAAATCAGCGCGGTTCTAAAATCTAACAATGTCAACGAACTACAGAAATTTTACGTGACAGGCTTGAGACCAGTGAAGGGGAAACCAATTTTAGGCGAAATCAGGAGAGGAAAACTCTTAACTTTAATGCATCTAAAGATGAGGACATTGTTGGGTGGGGGGAGGGGGAACCATGTAGACCCATTAATCTATGTGGCGGAGAATTGGCTGAACTGGCTGGTGATAATGGAGTTTGAGGAAATGAAGTATATGGACAATGTACCTTGAGGATCAGAGGGAAAGGCAAAATGGGGGAGGATAAGGAGGAGGAGGAGCCATAGGAGGAAGACGGAGGGGCCCATGACGTCATAACCCACCGTCCAACCTGAAAGCTGCATGCGATGTGGGAAGGGAGCAGAAAAGAAACGAGGTGTACGACATGGCCTGTGCTGATTCTGATTTCAGAGGCGATCGACACGTCCTCGGCCATGCTGAAATTTAGAATAGAACCGTTCGTGGCTTGACTATGTCAACCATCCGTTTCTCTAATAACGACGTCGGCCTCTGGCTGAGAACCTCGTAGGCTGTCAAGGACAAGTCAACAACTACATCCAATATCAGAAATTTAAGTACTATCTTTAACTTTTAATTTGATCTTAAATATAACACTCAAATTTATTTTGTTTCCAATATTTATATATTTTGCCTCAAGTAATTTCTATAATAATTGCATATGTTAAAGAGTTACTATAAATGGATAATGCAAGCACACATGATTAATAAGGGTATTTTAAGAGATACAATTTCTATTTACTACAAATAACTAATTTTCTTAATTTTCTCAAATTAGTCAACTAGATCTTCTATTAAGAACGGAATGTAGTATTTTATCAATAAGATTAAATTAAATTTCTTATATATAAAAAAATTGAATTGATGCAATTAGTTCAATTCATTTTAATCTAATTGTAAATTTTTGTGTGTGCGAATATAAAGAATGAGCATTATAAGAATGGCTTCTATTATAAGAAACAAATAAGTAAGGGTTGTAGATTAAAATATTAGTTAAAATTAATTGAAAACAATAAATGTATCATAAACGTTGATGATTGTAATTAATGAGTGTAAAAATGAAAAAAGCAAATTAAAAATAAAACAAAAAGCAAGTCTTGTATATTAAATTAAAATATTAGTTAAAATTAGTTAAAAACAATAAATATATCATAAATGTAGATGATTAGCATAAAAATGAAAAAGGCAATTTAAAATTTTAAACAAAAGATATTGCTTATATTATTAGAATCAACCGAAAGAATATTGCTCATATATAATTATATAGAGTATTTAGCAATAAGCAATATCACTTGATAAATATGTTTATCAATATCATTATGTTTGACAAACTAATTAAAATTTATCTCGACTTATATAAATGTTTTTATAATCACTTAATATCATTATATCTCTCCCTTAACCAAGTGTCGAGGGTTCGATCCTCGCCTTGGGCATGGAAAAGCTTTAAAAACTCCGGGCCAGCTGTCCCACCCATCGAGGTACCTACAAGCCAGCGAAGGGATTAGTCACTGAGTTCGCCAGTGGATACCCTGATGTTTCATCAAAAAAAATATATCATTATATCTAAAGAAACCCTAAATTAAAATCAATTGAGCTAAAACTTTTACATTGTCACAAATCCCAAAAAAGCAAGGGAATATGGACTTATTTGGATTAACGTTGCAAAAGTGCTTATAAGCACTTTCACGCAAGTTGAGATAAAAATCTTCTCACATATTTACCTCGTATTCTGTAAATCACGTTTAAAAAGCTATTTATAAGCTATTCTAAACAAGTTCTATATTGGCCCGTCTCGAAAAAAGAAGGAAGAAGAAGCTTTTTCTTTTCCAACTGTTTGCGCTTTTGTCATTTGCATATTATAGTAATAAAATAAACAAATACTCCTCCGTCCTTAATATAAGACCTATTTAACTAATTTGATGAGATTAAGAAAGTTAGGTAAGTTAGTTAATTATAAGAAAAGTGACACATTTTTCCTAAAACACCATAATCATTTTTCTTAATACCCCTTCCCCTCTTCTATCTGATTATAGTTGAGAGAGTATCTATAGGGATAATTTAGAAAAAATGATAAATATAATAAATGCGTTTTATATTTTGGACAAAAACCACTCAAGAATTGAGTCTTATATTAAGGATTGAAGAGTAATAAACTTTCTTCTCCCTCTGTGCTAGAGTTATCTGATGAGAATAGATGATGTTCACTTGGAATCTCTGTAAATGCAATGTATAGTTAAATTAAATATGGACATTTTAAACTTTAAGTATGGTGTTAATTTATGCCTATCAACTCTTAAAAGTGGTGCAAAAATTTTCAATCCGGACGAAAGCCAAATGCCTGTTAAACTGAAGAGTGGGCAAATCTTAACTCTTGAAATTTTGGTGGGACACCCTTTAATTAATAATTTAATATTTATTATTTATGCTTTATCCCAATGCTTCGCCGGTAAGGAAAAGTGCGTTTCATGGACGCGACGCGGAGAGCCTCCTAACAAACCGCCAGGGACGTTATCCAACTTTTTATTCATCGCAACCCCTCAAAGATTACGAATTTCAAAATTTTGGCTCATAGTTTTCATCAGTATCCCATCGTTATTTCAATTTCCTTCTCTCCCAAATTCGTCATCCATGGGAACCTCTCAGAGCCGCGAGGGCCTCGATGTCTCGGACTCTGATTACGAAGAGGAAGACGATGAGCAGCAACAAAGCGAAGAAGACCATGACGATTCTAAAACTTCCTCCGGAGCCAAATCCGGAGCATCATTGGATCAGCTTCATGAAGTCGACGCGAAGCTCAAAGCGCTGAAGCTGAAGTACCAATCGTCATTGCAAACCCCTAATTTGAAAAACGCTGTCAAGCTTTACCTTCACATCGGAGGTAACACTCCCAATGCTAAGTGGATCATTTCCGATAAACGCACATCCTACGCTTTTGTCAAAGCCTCTAGTGATAACCCCGAGGATGATGACGATGATGAAGAAGGGGGATCATATGGTAAGGGAGAATCATGGTGGGTGCTGAAGGTGGGTTCCAAGGTTCGAGTTAGGGTTTCTTCGGAAATGCAATTGAAGATGTTTGGCGATCAGCGTCGGGTTGACTTCGTGTCCAGCGGCGTGTGGGCGTTGAAATTCCCCACAGACGAAGCCTACCGGAAGTTTGTGACAGAATTTCAGAATTGTTTGTTTGAGAATGTGTATGGGCTTGAGGCCTCGGAAGATAACAAGATAAAGATTTATGGGAAGGAATTTTTAGGGTGGGTGAAACCTGAGGCGGCTGATGATTCGGTGTGGGAGGATGCAGATGATGGGTTCGGGAAGAGCCCTGAGCCGGCAACGCCTGTTAGGGAAACCGAGGACTTGATGGAGGAGTTTGAGGAGGCTGCTAATGGAGGAGTGCAGAGCTTGACGTTGGGTGCTCTTGATAATAGTTTCTTAGTGAACGATATGGGCGTTCAGGTTTACCGAAATTTTAACCATGGAATTCATGGGAAGGGTGTTTCTGTGAAATTTGATGGTGGTAAGTTGCTGGGAAGTTCAAGTTCAGGGCAATCAGCAGCAAAGAAGGCCTTATTAATGAGGGCAGAAACTAATATGATGCTTATGAGTCCAGTGAAGGAAGGGAAACCACAAGCCTCAGGTCTTCACCAGCTTGATATTGAGACTGGTAAGGTTGTCACTGAATGGAAGTTTGAGAAGGATGGAGCTGATATTACCATGAGAGATATTACAAATGATACTAAGGGATCGCAGTTGGATCCCTCTGAGTCGACCTTTTTGGGCTTAGATGATAATAGGCTTTGTCAATGGGATATGCGTGACAGGAAAGGAATGGTCCAAAGTATTGCAACGGCTAATTCTCCAGTGTTGCATTGGAATCAGGGGCATCAATTCTCCAGGGGAACAAATTTTCAATGCTTTGCAACCACTGGAGATGGTTCGATTGTTGTAGGGTCTCTTGATGGAAAAATACGTCTGTATTCAAAGACATCAATGCGGCAAGCAAAGACTGCTTTTCCGGGGCTAGGCTCACCAATCACCCATGTTGATGTTACTTATGATGGGAAGTGGGTTCTTGGAACTACTGACACTTATTTGGTACTAATTTGCACTTTGTTCACTGATAAAGATGGGAAAACAAAGACTGGGTTTACTGGACGAATGGGAAACAAAATACCAGCTCCGAGACTGTTGAAGTTGACTCCTCTTGATTCGCATTTGGCGGGTACAAACAATAAGTTTCATGGCGGCCATTTTTCATGGGTAGGTACTATTTTCTTTATTGTTAAATTACGCAGCTGTTCCAATAAAATCCTAGCTGATATACCTAATTATTTACCTTTTACCTTGGTGCCATAAAGCACGTTTAATTGCCAATTTGTTACTGATTCCGTTTTTGTTAGATGAACTGTTTCTTTGCCCCCTGCATTGTGCATCAAATTGATTAATTATTATTTTTATGATCAACATAATATCGTACTTGTAACTTACTCATGCTATGCTATGTCTTTTGTTGTGGACATTGTTTTTCCAGCCATTTTAGTTATATTAGCATAATTACTTTGACTTATTTTGGTATATGGTAAACTCGGATATCTGCCTGAGACCATGAGTGTTATCCGTGTTTTGGTCAAACTGACACAAATTACAAGTATGCATTCAGATCGTTTAATGTTTGAAGCCTTTGTTTCCTGTCTCTATAAGGTTTTCCCTGCAAAACTCGTAAATGCTGCTGACAAAAACAAAGCTAAAGTTTGATCAATAAGATTAGGTTTAGAAAAAACACTACCGTCCCGTAATCATGTTTCTATACTGAAAAGATTATAAGGGCAAGCAAAAAGTTCTCGTTCATGGATTGATGGAAATTACTAACAGAAATACATCCCTATTGTCCCTTGCGTGCCTAAGCTGGCATGAGCCCCCCGTGGAGGAAGGGCCTTTTTAGTACTGTTCTCACTGTTCTGATCTTGTGCATCTGCTACAAGCATCTCACATTTGTAATTGTTTCTCTCTTTCAGGTGACTGAGAATGGCAAACAGGAGCGCCACCTTGTTGCGACAGTAGGCAAGTTTAGTGTGATATGGGACTTTCAGCAGGTGAAGAACAGTGCCCATGAATGTTACAGAAATCAGCAAGGGCTCAAGAGCTGTTACTGTTATAAGATTGTTCTGAAGGACGAGTCCATCGTGGAATCGCGATTTATGCACGACAATTATGCTGTTAGTGATTCTCCAGAAGCTCCGTTGGTGGTGGCAACTCCCATGAAAGTTAGCTCTATCAGTCTGTCTGGAAAGCGACGTGGTACATAGGTTTTCCAGAAACTTTT